TGCAAACAATACTAAATAATCTAAATAATTCTGCCTCGCGGTTTGGTATGCGCTTCACACCTGCAAAGTGTAAAGTGCTACTGCAAGACTAGGTGGGTTCGAACCCTAGCCTCATGCTTGCGGATGAATCGACTGAGGTAGTAGATAAATTTGTTTACCTGGGCAGCTGTATCAGTCCCGGTGGTCTGGCGAATGATGATATTTCCATCCGGATTGGGAAGGCCAGTGCAGCTTTTGTGACCCTGCGTCACCGTGGCTGGCCTAGGCGTGACAGCTTATCCGTCAAGGGTCGAGTTCACAATGCTGCGGAGCACTCCATATTAAGGTGTTTTCCCCAACCAGCAGGTCCGTCAAGGGTCGAGTTCACAATGCTGCGGAGCACTCCATATTAAGGTGTTTTCCCCAGGCGACCAGCAGGTCCATATTTTTGGAATCAGCGATGATGCCTTCCTCCGAGAAAGGCCGGGTTAGAAAATGTCGGTTTCAAAAACCGCACACCGATCGTCCAGCGGTTGACCGTAACCTCAGGTGCTTTACTCAATACGGTCGAAATACTTTCAAAACCAGAGTCCGGTGCTGCTCTAAAGAAACCTGCTTGCGCAGCCGCATCAGGAGTAGGACAATAATGGTCTGCTTCCTGCGCCCACTGGCCAGGCTGTTCCTCTACAGCCAAGTGGTTCAGACTATTGAGTCATTGGCTCCTGGAAGGGTCCCCCAAGGAAACCCTAACAGCCGCTGTCTCACGGTTCAGACTCTTGAGTCAGAGGCCAGGGGCAGGGTCATCGAGAAAACCCTACATCATCGCACTGCCTTGTGGTTCAGACTTTTGAGTCAAAGGCTCACGGTGAGGTACTTCAACTAAACCCCTTTCGGCATGTAGTGCAATCAACCCATCTGCCAATCCCTTAACCACTGCCCCGTGTCTTAACCATCTCCCAGAAAAACAAACCAAATTAATAACCTACTAATCTCAAAAGATCTGATCCACGTTGCAGCCTTCAATGTCCGCACTGTGTCAAACTGAGCAACGATCATCCCCTACTACATCTTTACTTTCCCTCTCTATCGATGTATGTTGGGTCTCCAAAAAAACGGAATTTCCAAATTTCTCTCCCTTATGAGGGCACTGTATGCGAACTCCGGTGGGCGCGTACGAGTGTACGAGGAGCTCTCGTCTGAGTTCACCGCGTCCAGTGGTGAAAGACAAGACTATCCTCTCAACTGGTTCAGATCCTTCCCAAATGCAAACGATTTTAAATAACCTAACTAATTCTCCCGCATGGTTTGGCTTGTGCTACGACGAGACTGGGTGAGATCGAACCCACACATCATGCTTGTAGGTGAGCCAATCGACGTGGTGGCTTAATTTGTTTACCTAGGCAGCTGTTTAAGTTCCGGTAGACTGATTGGAGATGAGATTGTTTGTCGAATCGGAAAGGCCAGGGAGCTTTTGCCAACCTCCGATACCAATGGGGCCGACGTGACGTGAGCTTGTCCGTCAAGGCAGAGTTTACACTGCGGTAGTGCGATCCATACTGCTTTATGGATTAGAGGTGTGGCCCCTATGTGCAGAGAACATACGAAAGATGTCAGTGTTTGGCCATCGGTGTCTCCGCAGCGTTGGTCAGGTCTGGTGGGAACATCGGATTAGTAATTCTGAGGTACGCCAGATGGTCTTAGGAAGAAGGAATTCTCAAGTGATAGATGAATTACTCACGCTTCACAGGTTGCGTTGGTTGGGACGTGTACTCCACATATCAGAAGACCGTCTGCCTCGCAGAATGACCGGGAGGTGGACAGTGTATGACCTAGCAATGAAGTACGAAAACACTAACCGGTAAACTTAGTCGGGTGGGCAACTGCCGCCTCTGTGAGTGGGGTCCCCGGGACTCAAATCACCAGTGGTTAATGACATAGGCGGAAATGGCCCAATCGCGCAGTCAGTGGCGCTCATGCATCAGAGCTATCGCCTTCAATGCGTAGCTACCCGACTTCCGAACAAACTGAACATGGCTTTGCCTCCAAGGCTTGGTTGTATATTACATTTTCCCGTTTTGCGGTGTTCGAAACTGTAGCAGCTGGAAACAATGTGCCTGTGGCACACGATTTATAGCTGAATTGAATTAGTTTCCCCGCGCTGCTGAACATCCTTAAAACCAAGCCATATATATATCATATAGCTGGTAGCTACGGTTACTGAGACTCACTACTGGATTATAGCTCATTCTGCAATATACATGCTTTCTTGGATCACCCTCATATCCGGTGCAGATTTCCACTAAATGTTTCGGTGAACCTAGGAAGCACACTTCCACCACAGCAATCGGAGTGCCTTTTGAGCCTGGAATTAAGCAACCCTACAAAAACATTGATATGGTTCTTTGAAAGTGGTCACATCGTAACAGTCGCTATACGTGGCGCTGGGTATTTGGTATGCCGCGTTTCCGAGCCTGTATATACTAACCACCAGATAACAACGCGGCCGCCATCATCTCTTGGCAGAAGACTTATTTCTCCGTCAGTTCGAATTAAATTTTCTTATCTGAAGGCGTGGTCTAACCAGCAACCTTGAAGGATGCAGACCAGTGCGTGGGGAGTGCTCCGGAACTGTTCCAACTAAATCGCCAAACTGACTTCAGGACAACATTTCTTACTGAGTTACCCAAAGGTAATGCTGGAATTCCGGTAGCTAATAAAAGCCATTGTCTAGGTAGCAGAACAGGATATTTTCAACAACCATTCGTTTGGTAATTGACTCATGCCTGTCTTTCACAGAGCCCGCTCAACTCAAGCCGTGATCCAAGATCCTCATTGAGTGACTGGAATACCAATGAGTCTTTCCGCTCCGAACTGCCATCTGGCTTCCGAGTCAGATGAATTTCCATCAGTCACTCACCAGACCATGGCTGAAGTAGGGTACGGCTGTTTGCTGCAGCGGAAGCCTTCTCCGTCTTGTGGGACTTCGCAGGCAACCAGCGTTATCTGTCATTCTTCAGGTTCCTGATTGTTTGTGCTAAAAGTTTGTACTGGCCAGGAACTGACGATGATGAGTACATAGCTGAAGCAGTCGCTCCCCATCGTCCGTACGCCGGGCTTAGATTCCAAATCTACCACATAATTGTGCTTCATCCGGGCTTAGTAGTCAAACCTGGGCATTCATATAGCCCGCCGGGATTACTATATCCGTCTTCCGGGCTCACCGAAGCGGTCACGACAGATCTCGATAAAACTAGTCTTTCTTCGTCTCAAACTGCATTTGTCGGGGCCCCCGCTGATACGACAGACACCTTTTACCGAATCGACCTGCTTTGTTTCTAATTGTCTTATAACTATAGATCTAATAGGTTGATGACTCTGTTCTGAATGAAACATCAAGTTCATTAGAAGCTACAATGGTTCGATCATGTGCTGCGCATGAGTCAAAAGGAGCGCTGTTTTCCTGGCCAAATTTGGAGCTGCTCAAGTGAGGTAGGCAGTTGCTAAATGTGTACGACTACTTATGTCTTATCCAGAAAATAGGCGAGAAAGTCTTTTTAGGTCTTTATAGTTAAAATGGTGATTGTACACAAGTATTTTCTTTTGGCTTTCATGTTGTTGATACTACGGCTTTGACATGACATTTAAAATTGTAACCGTTCTCATGTCACATTGAGCGATCATCTCTATCGTGAATCCAGTGGTTAGGGATAACGTACTCGTGACGATTGTCTGGTTTTTTGCGTACTCCGAAAGTCACTCGATGGGAATAGTGGCGTGTAGTATATGCATACCACAGCTGATAGATTAATACGAACGTACAAGATGTGTTTTTTTTCTCTGATTTTCTCCTCAAATAGACATTCAGTACCTGATAGAGATGATAATATTAAATGACCGTAGTGATGCGCCACCACTACGGTGCACGGATGCTGTGCTCATCGAAATAAGCACGGCATCGCAGTCGCCCGATGCTTTATATCCCAACAATTCACGGTCGCTTTCGTCTTTCGGACACTGATCGCCGTGCCAGCTCGACCTAAGCATTTCTAAGCCTAACTTTGTGTGACACTTTGACGACACAGTCGTCAGCGAAGGGAAAACCGTCTACTAAGTAACCCAGTTGCAACACTGACAATCCAAAAACCTCATCCATTGTCGTGTTGGTCAGTAGTGTGCAGAGTGGATCAATCTGCCTCGTACCTCTACGGCACTAAACCTCGGATTTGGGGAAAACTGTTGTAGCGTTTTCATAGGATACATCGAGGTAGAGGTGACGGCGCTCGCAACGTACATATGTGCGTCATGGGAAACCTTTCGAACGCTTTTGACATATCAACAAACGTCAAACTGATGTTACAAGCAGTCACTAGAGAGTGTCAAAGCAGACAGTGGAACAGCGACGTAGCCTCCAAACAACTAACATGAGCACGACTTATACGGTGAACAACCCCGCAGACAATAATGGAAAATTGAAATACCCAGATTGGACTTTGATAGTGAACCGGCGAAGCACCGTGGTCGTTAGCTTGTCCAGACCTGGGGACGAATTATCCGTCGAGCAGATTGTACGGTCAATTTCCTCATCTGTAACTGGCTCGAACAAACTCCAGTCAGATGGAAGCATTACGCGACTTGATCGGCTATCCACGTGTTTGGGGGCAGAGATATAGGTGGAAAGGTAGGCCTTAGTTTCCTTTGTTCCTTTTCTTCCACGACCCATCGAGTGCAGCGGACGCTGCATCTTTTCGCGTCTGATGGTATAAGGACGTTTATGGAAGTGTCTTGGATATATGGGAGTCCAGAAGAGGCAAGCATTCTACTGGTATCATGATGCCGGACTGCGACTTTCGGGTAAAGGCCTGAAGTTCAACCCTAGAGAGCGAACTGTCAGAATTGGATTCCCAGAGTGACGGGGTACAATCCACGGTTCGTTTGAACCAGGTGGCATGGTCAGGCTAATGTGCAGCCGTTTGACCAATTGTTTGGTCAGGTCACTAGATGTATACTTGTCCAGCTGCAGTTACCAGTTCAAACCACTTGATGTTAGCAAATCGACAAGGAAAATATTCCACTCCCACGAACGGCTTGGTTTGCGTGCTACAAGACGGATATAACTTATCTGCCAGGTGCGAAAGTGTATGCGGCCCTTGTTTGGACCGCCGGGCTTCACTCGGCCAAATTTATCTGCATTGTGGTCGGAAACAAGCGGGAACAGCTTTTCACTCGCTGACTCCCCCACACGATAGGAACAATCAACACAGACCGATTGGGCAACCAAGATCGTGCCAACCCGATGGTAGGTACCAAGTTAACTTTCCGTTGACAGCACTTGCCACAGTCTTCACACACGAGCCCCATGCGTCTCTTCTGTACACTGGCATTAACCTGTTCAGAGACACAAACAGGATCGTGTTGTTCATTGTCGAAAGTTGCACTGAAACCAAACAGGGTGGTTGGGCCATCTGGAGTTGCTGAACTCGACTCACTAAAAGTGATTTCTGGACTATCCAGTCGGTACCAGGAGAAGGTGCTTCAGCGTGCTGAGGACTATTGCTACCTAATACTACGACCCAAACACTATCTCGCCCGGCTGTGTAGCGAATTGATTCCCAAGTCATTCGTCTATTTCTTACAATGCAGTCACTGCGTTTGAATCTGCATCCTTTGTTTGGGCTAGGCTTACCTGGGATGACTTTAGTTTCAAGTCTACTGGCAGTTGAAGCATATGATATGGAATCTTTATCCTTTAACGTGAACACGTGTTTGTTTTATTTTTCATAGACCTTTAACCGTCGACACAGGAACGAGTCGATGTGTTCAGAGTTAAGTGACGCAGACGATGATGACCTACTGAACTGCTTGATCGTTATTGTTCCGGAACGTGCCGGTGAGCGGGAGCCTGATGTGAACAACCTGAAGTCTCCGTCAATCAGAATTTCCTCTCAGCCACCCTCGCAACTTTTAAATGAGGCTGATTTTGAATCGAACTCTTCAGACTCTTCCCCTCCAGCTAGTCCGATGAAATTGGGATCTGCGCCTGTTCCGGTTCCCGCTACAGTAGAGCATGCAGCATCCGGAATATCTGCTCGGCTCCTGGCCAAACACCCCTCCGGCGATCGGCATCCTAATCCTGATTATCAGTCCCGGTAAGTAATCTTGAGCTAAGTCGTCCCTTGTAACTATGTACCCGCTTTTCCACTGAAGATTTTCTATGTTGGGCAATCATTCTTATACCACCCCGTTTCACTGTGGGTTCCTCACGTCCTGCTCCATTGGCTTTTATCTGATGGTCCGGTATGGTTTGGTTTCGGCATTTTTCTACTGTACTTATTTTTGTCGAAGATATTGCGGCACCAGCAAATATACACTCATTTACAAACTAATTTGGTTTTCCGAGAGACTCACCTGGAACCCAGCTGAATCTCTCGTCTGTAACGGAAACCCGGGGACCGTGCCTACCTGATGAGCCCCAAAAACGGCGGAACCGGTCGTGAGCTGTCGGCAGGTTTTCAACAACCTTATGAGTGGTACATTACAAGGATATATTACGGCACTCTTTGTGGTGTGACTCCTCTTCAATTCGATACGCCACCTGCATAAGCTCCGAATTTCATCTCGTAGTCATATTCATGGCTTTTATTACGGGTAAAGTCATTCTTTGGTGAATGAAATCGTAGACTAGAAATTTGGGGTGAAGCGTTCGGGAATTAGGAAATTCGGTGAAGACTACTGGGAAGTGTTCTTTTTTTCACTACAGATTCAAGTGCATTGAGTGTAAACTGAAAGACCTAAAAAAAGCATCCTTGGATGGGATGTTTTATAGTTGGTCGGTCTCTTGGGATTCTCTGTTTGATTGAACTACTTCTGGGTCTGTCCCCAAACCTTAAAGGACGGTCTTGGTATCATCTGCTATATTCCGCACCATGCAGTATGGTTACGTCACCCATATGGGCGAACAGTTGGACTCTTTCAGTTGCGGGTTAGTGTCGTTAATCTGTTGCATGCGCACCGTATTTGGCAAGTGACAAACTAAAGTACCATTATATCACTATCTGCATCAGGAATCGTGTGACGCAACCGCCATTTTAACTCCTGGTCTAGACGTGTCAACGCATCCTTTAGGTTAACGCAATTAACAAGCCATAGAAAATTGAACGCCACACTCGTAATTCTTCGAAGGACCCAAGTTTGGGTATTGTGCCAGTGTTCTTGATTGTTTCAATTCATCGTATCAGGTGAACGAGTTCTGGTATCGTGTGTGGAATTCCCTAGCTGTGCATTTTTATAATAGCATCACAAATGTACAAAACTTCTAAATAAGGTATTGTATTTCATCATGTCAACTGTGAAGATGGTTACAATAACAAATACGGGATTTGAACAGCTGCGAAGTAAAGAATACGGAATAAGTCATTGGTCACTAATTATCCCAAACAGCTGAAAAGTCTCGATTGGAGTAGCATTGTGATATGGAGCCGGGGGGGGGACCCTGGTCCGCGCTTGTGTGGAGATGCGTACATCTGAATGAATAAAATCTACCAAGAGAGCTCAAACGTGCTAACAGAGCAGTGTTCTCAACAGAATTGGGCAACGCTTCACCTACGGATAGGATACGCGCTTGTATCAATTTGCGTTTGATTATGCTGTGCAAATGAATCGTAAATATCTGCGGGGGTTGACATCATGGTAGGTGTCAACCATTCACTAATATGTAGCGTTACTGATTGCTTACTGAATGCAGGTTCTCAGGTTGGACTGTAGTGCCTGCTTTATTCCATGACTGTGTTTTTTCGTTCGTCCGACGAACTTGCCTGCACATTTTTGACACTGTACAGCCGTTTCAACCTCATTGGTAATTATCAGCAGCGCGCTTCATGAAACTCAGTGTTTCGAACCTCGAACCTTTCGGTCGGTGATCGAACACTTGGCCGTTCGGCCGCATCAGAATGGTCAAATTGACGGAGTGTCGACACCCGAATATCGATGGCTGGAATCGCGTTTTCTCCAAAAAGGCCCTATCGTATGGTTTTGACTCACACTAAACCGAAGTGCGAGCCGCGTTTTCCCACGGTTGTGAAACTTTCCCGGGCGGTAGTTAGGTTCGAGCTGCTTTTGGGTCTTTCAAAACTGTTCCGCATTTCTTCTCACAGTTGAGTTTTCAAAAGGGCTTTTAGTGATACCACAGGCGCCTCATCCCAGGACTGCACCAGGCATCACGAACTACAGTGACTTGATTATGTGATATACATGCCGAGTTATCTACCAACGATAGTTCCGTTTTCCATGCCCAATGCAGAGTGGCGTAAACCGAGAAATGTATGGCTTGCTGAGGAGAAACAGGTTAGGGGAATCCTAGATGTATTGTTGAAGCACAATTTTCAGGATAAGTTCCACGCTGGATTTTCCTTGTGGAAATTGCAGGAAACCGTAGTTGGCATCAGTTATCAGTTTGATCAATGACATTCGCGTTGTGTCTAGCACTAGGCTCCTGTCTCTCGCTCTACATTCTTTACACATCAGAGCTTCAGATAAGCTGACGCAGTTGTACGACAGTGCAACACGTTTTCAACATTGGGCTTGCAAATACATTGCTAGTGTTGCTTGCATAGCAGCTCACCAGACCCAATAGTAGCCCATACCAAAAGAACAAGGCATCTAAA